ACAAAGAATTTCTAGTCATTAAGTGGCAGGCTACTGTTTTACCTATGATATCCCTTTTTATAGCCATTTTTTTTTTAATTTTTTTTTTTTGCTTGAGAGCAGGATGTTATAGACTCATATTCAGTTTGTTATTCACTTTATTGTCCCAGTCCTTCTCCACAGAAATATTTAGTCAGGTACTCTCTATCTACTATCTTACAAAAATCTGGTTTTACACTGTCAAAATTGAGAAAATGAAGAAATAACTATAATGGAATCTGTGAAAGATGACATGAACAAATTTTCTTAGTCAGTTGGCATCAGGTAAAGTAAGGATAGTCCTAAGTGTTGTACAATGTTTTGCTTTTTGTTGAAATTCATCAGATATATTTCTCTAGTATGTCAATGGAATTTTGCATTCTAGTCATGTTATCTAAAGCACTTGCAACTGCTTTGATTTTGATATTTCTATGTTGTAATTCAGCTCATGAATATGCAATGTTATCATAAGAAAAGTTTACTTACTGAAAGCTGCTCAAGGGTTCAAGAGTTTTTTTGCTAGTCATGGCCTGTTACTAGGTACTGTTCTCCCAGCAGTCATGTCAGCAGCATACGGCAGAAATTCTAGTGTGAATACTCAGTTTATTTTAACTGAGGGATATTTACCAGGTGTGTCTCACTGCTTTCTGAATATCTATTATTTATATTTCATAAGTGATTCTTCTCCATTTTCCCCCTAGTTGACTTGGGAATGAATATGTTTCATGTCTGCCCTCAAGTAGCATGAACTATATAAACAAGTCTCTGCAATATCACTTCAATCATTATTTGATTATGTACTAAGATTTTAATTTCTTCCCGTTTATTTCCTCTGTGTCTTGCAAAGTTTAGAGACATCTATGTGTTCAGAAAATTGACTACTCTTTTCTTTTTTCTCCTTCCAGCAATTGTATTATTTATCTCAGAGCCTTCACCCACTTTCTGGACACTCGTCCATGTCACTGCATATATACATATGGAGTTATGATGCCACCTCACTGCTCCATGTTTAAAACTACTCTCCTGAGTAATTTGTGCAAGATGGACCTACCTTTGTTCAGTTGTCCTCTGTGCCAGAACACCACCTTGTGGAGAAGGAAAGCAGAGCTTTGTCTTTGGTTGGTTGGAAAGACTGAAAAGACCTGAACCATCAGATTCTTCTCCCTTACTTTTGGGTCCTTTCAGTTACTTTTGAGCAGCTCTGGGTAATATTTGCCAGTGCTATTAGTGGCTATATGAATGAGCTGCATGGAGTAAAAATCAGAAGGCTGAAGGTGCTTCAGCACCTTTACTAGAAGTAGTGAAGCAGTGGCAGAGCTTAAAAAAGTGTATTTATTTAATTTGATTACGTTTATGGTTATGTTGAAATGATTATATTGCTTTAATTGAGGGTTACTAGGATTTCTATAGTAAACTTGAATTTTAAGCTATTTATAGCTCAGAGAAAGTGTTTGCCTACAGAAATTTGGCATTAGGTGTCTCAAGCTGAGTGGTATGGTTTTCCTTTTTCTAATTTTCTTAAAAGGACTCTTTGGCTGAATTCTGTTTTGAGGGAGGCAATTTTTTGTGGTTTTATATGCTTTTTGTTCTCCTTTGGCAAGGCTTGATACGTGGAAAAAACAAATTTTCCAGGCTCTTAGTCTTTTATGTTAACTATTTCCTTTTTGATATTTCAAACAGTATACTTTGGTAGTCATTACTTTTTAACAGAGCTGCTATATAATTCCATAAGCAGATACCACTAAGTATCTACCGTAACTACATTTTATACTTCATTACATAAAAATAATTCATAAAGATTTTTTTCTGAAACAAAATTATGTACCCAACATGTAATGTAAGTACTTGTGTATTTCTGTAAGGTTCACTTTTTTTGGATTCTCTTAAAATATAGCAACTATTTTTTTGCTTTTCTATTTATTTCTGTTTCTTATTTGTAGACCATTTAATGCCATGCTTGAAGGTCTTTAAATTCTCTAAGTTAGTTTCATTGATGGTTCTGTAAATCCTTCCTTTTGCGCCACGGGATGAAGCACATTTGGAATCCTCCAGTTAGAGCTCGGAGAACGTGATCACTCAGTTCATGAAGCCCAAGCCTTGGTTAAAGGTCTAATGCCATCTGGATAGTAAGCAGAGAAGCGTTTAGGGTCTGCGTAAGTTCTTAAAGGCGTCTGAATGCAGATGGCATCGAGCCTGACACAGAATGTGTCTGGTGGCTCAGGTGACTTCAGCTGTGTTTCAGGTTACATCCAAATATTCTGCAAATGTGGCAGTGTGATCAGAAGACCTCCCAAGAAAGCAGGGAGTTTCTTTTTTCTTCCCAACAACTTTGTCAAGTATATATCTCCAGAGTCTTGGAAGAATGTCCTAACAGCTAGTTACTGAGCATTTATAGGACAGATGGGATTAAGGTGAAGAGGTGCTCCTCTACTCCTCTGATTCAGCTTGGGCCACAGAATAGAAAAATGCTAGAGTCCTCTTAGCAGAAAATGGTATATGTACTCTATAGTTTGTAATTTTTTTCTGAGTTTTATCCAGTGATTAAATACTGTAAAATGCGTGAATAGCACACAGCAGCCTGAGCCTAAGTGTTCTGCCTCCATTTTACTTGTTATATGAGCTTCATCAATGCAGCATGAGAGAAATTATTAGCTATGCTGGGGAGAAGGATGATCAGAACAGAGCAATCAATGTACTCTAGGTGAAACTAGATGAAATTCAGTGCAAAGCAAGACTGTTCTAGACTTAGAGCTTAGAGTCCAAGCAAGATGTTGACTCTAAGCTGTTAGTTCATCTTGAAGAATGTAAGGATTTGTCTGTAGTACTGCCTTGATTTTCCACTATGTGGCCCTTGTGAGAGTCATCCTGTCCATGGTTCTCAGTGTTGTTTTCAAGAACAGTGAATTCAAGTTGGGACTGCTTAGTGGACAGAAAGACTATAGAGAAAATGAGGAGGTGAGAGGCCTGAACTATGTCTCAAAGAGTTTATATGCCTGTTGTATCACAGATGGAGAATAAGAATCAATACTTGAATGCCATTCTGCAATGTCCCTTCTAAACTTCTGTCCCCTATGAAATCCAGCGGCTGCAGACACCCTTGTGAATGGCTGTGTGAATGTGCTGTGGCTGTGTGAACTGTTCTGTAAAGACAGGTACAGATCTTTGATTACAGCAGAAGTTTAACCACAGTAGGAACTGAATAGGATTTACAGGATTTGGCCTAGAAATTGAACATTTTTGCCACCAAAGTTTTATATATATTTTTCATTCTCTAAATTAAACTTTGGTTCACATAATCTATTTTACCTTCTTCCCTCCCCCTGCCCCCAGTCACAGTTTTACTCATAGTGCAGCTGTGTCATTTGTCTTGTAACAAGAAGGATCTGATAATCATAAAATAACCCAGATTTATGCCCGTAGTGCTGAAGCAGTGCCATATTTGTGAAAATAACTTAGGAGAAAAAATATGCAGCAGATGTGAAGGTTTTACCTTCACATTTAAGTAGGTTTATACTGTCAGCGAGTGTGGGCTTAGCACAGCCTGACAGAGTTTTAACTTACCAGATGTTCCCTGTGATCAAATAGATACTATACAGCTGTTTCCCATTCTTTCTACCGGGCTTAGATAAATACAAAGTAAATGCTTCGAAATATGTTTACTGTATTTTGGCTAGTGCTGCAGAGAACTTACTTTTATCCATGGGCACCAAGAATGCAGGGAGAAACCAAAGGTGCTGCAGTAATGCTCGTATTCTGCTACTGTGAGGAAAAATCAGCAGCTGTTTGGTGGAACGAACCTTGATGATACTAGCCGGTGAGGGATGAAACTTGGGTTTTTCATCTGTTTGTGGATGATGTGAGATTAGTGGCCATATTTATGTACTGCAGAAGTGACTTCTGATCTCTGGGCAAGCTGTGACTCTGCAGGCTGGACCCATCCCCCTGGGCTAACTGTTGTCCTTCCAGTGGTGTTTAAGTCTCACGGGAGGTGGTGGGTGCAGTGGGAGCAGCTGTCCCATAGGCAGCTAAACTAATCCCAGCATGGGCTTTCAACACTGGAATGGAGACCTGTCTCCTCCTCTGGGCATGGGCAGCTTGCCTGAAGCTGGCCATTTGATGTGTTTTTTAAGACGTGAAGCTTTTGGGGGTCAATCTAAGCAACTACTCTCAACTGTATCAGGACTTAAAGGCCCAGGTTACATGAACTGCCATACCTGTCAACTTAATTCAGTAACAGAGCAGCTAAATAATAAAAAAGGAAGTTTCATTTCCCTTCACTGGCTTTTCTGCTTGCTTCTCCTTTCTCCCCCTCCAGCTCCCTGTGCTTTCCTTAGCCCATTGACCTTACTGGTGCCTTCCTTCCCTCCTGTCACTGCCAGCCTCCTGCCTTTCCAGAGCTGTTCTTACACCCAGCAAATTCTTCTTGTCTACCAGGAGCCTGCCTTGTTCTCCTTTAAATCCTTCTTTAAAACCTTCATCCTCAGGCAGAGGATTTAATTTCATCTTTCATTAATAATCTCTTCAACATTTCTTGGCTGCTCTGTTCTTTTTGGATTTATAGCCTAGTCTTGCAAATGTTTACAGACAAGTAAGTGTTCAGTTAAATTGAGAACATTCAGGTAGAAGTTTGGAGGACTGGGTTGTTCATTGATAAGCTTTTCGAAATGGGAATATTTCTCACTCTGTAAAACACAGTGTTCATTTATGATTCTATATACATTTTTATAGTAAACATTTGTGGCCTCAGAGGAGCAGTGGAATATGCACATGGATAACTTTGGCTTTTAACTTTTATTCCCTAACTCAAGGTGCAGAACATGTTCTCACAGATTTTTAAAGGCCGTGAGCAAACAATGTTGACTTTATACAGTATGACTTTATACCTAGAATCATATGAGAAGACAGGTACAAGCTGTACCTTTGATCTCGGTGACCTTCATTGTTTTGTGTTTTAGAATTGATTTTTCTTTCAGGAATCTCAAGCATCTGGACTGCCTGAGTACATAAAGATTGTAGAAGTTGGGCCAAGGGATGGATTACAAAATGAAAAGGTAATTTTCATCTGTGGGTTTGTTTTTTTTTTTTGTGTATGTGTGTGTGTTGTGACATGGATATCAGTGTTATTTTCATTGTGTAAAGCACGTACACGCTGCTAATCATGTTTCTTCTATTAGGTACTATAAATATATTTATTTCGTTTTATATTAATAACTGTTTTGTATATTAGAAGAGAAGTATATTACTATGTAGCCAGGTGTTAAATCATATGATTTCTTTCTATACTTGGTTAACTAGCCTTTCTGTTACTCAACTGCCATATCTTATTCTAGAATTTGTCTTGTCAGTCAATAGCATTGTGTCATGACGTAATTGGTAATGCAATAAAACACTGGCTATCTTCATAATACATGTTTGTGCTGGAAGTGCTATGATAATAGGAATAGTACAGTAGGTTTTGTCATGCTTCCTCCTGAACAGGCATGGAAAAAAAGCAGGTATTCTTTTGATTTTGTTGTTATTTGACTGAAGTGTGTCTTGGAAGAAGATTAAAAGAGACTGTAAAATGGGGTACATGTATCAAAACAGTCATCTGTTTCCACAAACAGGAGGATATGCGGATAGGCTTGCATATATTGGTGTGCTAATATGAAAGATGTTAGTAGTATTAAGAGAATGGAATTACTCTGTCCCAGCTCTGGAGCTTTTTTTCCTCCATTTTTCTCTGGTTGGACTGTTCTGTGTTACTATTTCCTTTGTCGCTTCTTCAGTAGGTTGGTGTTTGGTTACTAAGAATTACTGAGGCCAGATCTTTAAGCAGTTACAGTGGTTATAAAAGTGCTTCCTCATTCTTTTGTGGTGGACAAAAAAGGGAGTAGGATGATATATACTGCCTGATGCTTTCCTTATGCAGTATCTTCCTACTGTCAGGAGACACTGTTGTTAATGGTATAATGTATGAGTATAGTTCATTATTTTAAAAAATATTATTGTTTATGTACTAAGAACATTTGACTTACAAAAGTTTCTTACTGAATGAAATACTGTACTATAGTCTGTCTCCATGTCCATAGGTGATAGTCCCAACTGATATCAAAATTGAGTTAATCAACCGGCTTTCCAAAACAGGCCTGCCTGCAATAGAAGTGACCAGTTTTGTTTCATCCAAATGGGTGCCTCAGGTATGTAAATCATCACCATTCAGAACTATTTCAATTGAGATTTAAATGCCATTACATGCAGTGGAGTTTTTCAATAGTATAGCCTGTATAATTATACAAGAATCAGATACAGTTGTCAGACACAACTTAGGCAGCTTTCAAGTTTTATGCTTTTATTTAGATTGGCTGAGGTTGGGATAATTATTAAAAAATAGTTAAAATTGAAGAAAATTGAAGTAAGCTGTGCAGAAAGCGGCTTAAATCCCTAATTTAGCAGCAGCAAGAGCGGGTTGCTTCAGAAGAGAAGGGGAACTGGAAGCTAAGCATGATAACAAGGGAGCCAAGATTGCAGCCTTGTTGACTAAAAGGCAATCCAGCAGTCTGTGAGAGCAGAGCAAATCCAGCGAGGGTAACCAGGGCAGCCAAGACTACACCCGATCAGGTGAGTTCACAGTGATGCGGCAGGTCCCAGGTTAAGCCAGGAACTTAAGTCTGGTAGACATAGGACCCAGACAATAAGCTACCTGGCAAACCATGGGCTTGGCTCTTGCTCTGCAGCTGCATTGTTTCTCAGGCAGGGAGGGAGCATGACAGTGTCTCAGATAAAAGTTTCTGTGAAGCAACTTTTGCTGTGAAATTGAGTGAAAGGGGAGGGAAGGCCATGTTAAGACTCCTTAACAGAGCTGTTTGGGGAGCCTTCGCTGATCTGCTTTCCAGCTTTTATTGATGATCTCTAAGGCTGATTGAAGCTTATCAAGTTGCCGTCTTATCTGTGAGCTGACCTTGAGTGCAGGAAGCTAAACTCTTCAGAGGGGAGCACTCCTGGCCTGATCAACAGAAATGCTAGGTGTACAACTTGTCATGATTACTACATCGGGTGTATGTGTGTATATGCGCAAGGAACAGTAGTAAGTGTGGAATGAGAGAATTGGTCACAGGATGCTGAAAGGGCTTAAGAGATATGGGGATGATGGATCAATACCATGAATAAAGGGCAGCTGGGATAGAGGATACTGATTGTAGCTATAGTGATAAAAATCTGAGAATATGAAGCAGTTGGGATGCAGAGTACTGAGTGTGAGTATCCAGATGAATGGCATTGAGGCTGATCTCTGGGAAACAGTCATGGTGGAAGGGACTTCTTGTGGAAGCAACACCAGTTCAGAGGCCTAGAATCAGGGCAGGAAAACCTAGATGCTTGTGCAAACCACATAAACTTTCCAGGACTGCTCCCTAGCACCAAACCAAGAGAGTAGACTCCCCAGGCCTGGGGGTTGTGTGGACTGTTGTGGAAGCTTTAGTGCCCTGAAGCCAAATACCCATTTTTGAATGTCTGCTGCACTTGGTACATTTCTGTGTATCTATCCACCATGCGGTCCTTCTTTTTGAGTTAGCTTATAAAAGGGCAATGACTTTTTGCAATTAATAATACAGAGAAAATACAATCAATGATAATATTGTACTGTGGAATGGAAGCAAAGAAAGTACTTGTGCATTTTATTTTGCTCTTTATCTCTGTAAACATTCAGTTCTAACTAAGGAGTTGGAATGGTAACACGTCATTCCTACCTCTTTTCTACTCTTCCAAGAACAAATAGTCATTGATGTAAAAAAGAAAGATAAAAACCCTTTTGTTTGGTTTTTTTTTTCCTTTTTGCCTAAATGAAATTTCGTTTTCCACATTTGAAAGTGTGTTTGGAAGATCTAAATCTGGGACTTTCATATATGTAGCAGTACTTAGGCACGTTAGTTATCTTGCAGATCTAGCACTCTATCAGCCATCCATACTGAGTTTTGATGAATCACGAAAATTTTCTCATTATTTTCCAAAATTAATTTTTACACATGGTACAATTCAGCAGAAATCCTAACCTTTCTGAAGTCAGCAGCAAAACTACATTGGCACTAGGAGTGGCAGGTTTTCATTTGAGATTTAACACTTAGTCCTGAAGTATATATTATGTAGCTCCTGTTTGTGCAAACTTAATTATTCCCTGCAAGTAAGAAAATAAGTCAATACTTGTCTATATAATTTAAACTAATTTTCAAGAAATTACACACTTGTTTTCACAGAAACATTTAAGTATTACATGTTTAGTAAGGACCACACAAGTTATTTATAAAATAAAACATGAAATTAATTCACTTGAGAAAATATTTTGATTTTTAACATTGTTTATTGCACATCTTTTGTCCAAATGTATATAAAGTTTGTCTGTTTTAAACTGAGAATACATCCTGGGCCTGGACTGTATTCTAAGCTTTCCTCTGGGAAAAACAGTACAATCATACTTTTTCTTATTCATGAGTTAGCAGAGCAAACTGTTCAGCACTCTGAGGGACTCCTTTGATTTATTTCGGTGTTCTTGGGATCACTAGGGAAGGGTCTAAAGAAACGATGATAGGAAAAGGGAAGAGCAACAATGCAGAATTTCTTTGGTGTCAATGTAGGGGCAATGATACTGTGTCTGTTAAAAGTGACTAGGCTTAAGTTTTTCCAAGTGCCATCAAACTTTGGCAGTTAAAGCCACAGAGAGTAACGTAGGTTTTTAAATGTTAGAAGGAAAAGTCTAAAGCAAAGGTGGATTTCTTCCTTTCTACTTTAATTATTTCCTTTTCCTGTGAACCATTAGGAGTACCAAATTTAGCACAGGTTTGTCAGGTTTGGAAAAAAATGAACAATCCCTTCTTATCTTAAATTCATGTCTGAATACTTTATCTTAATGGCTTAATTTGTGTTTAAAATGTTTTTTATTTAAAAGATAAGATTGTGTTGCTTTGATAGGGAATGCAGTCTCAACTTTGTCTTTTCTTTGCTCCTTTTTTCTTTTCATAGGTCATGGGAATAGAATTCATGGTTATGTTTAGTTCACTCATTCACTTATTTCTTTTTTTAGTATTTTAAAGCTCTTTTATGGTTTCCCATCCACTGTTCTTCTTGGCAGAGATTTTTTTACTTAAAAAAGCTAAAAAGAAACAGTTCCACAGTAGCAAGGTGCCATATAAAACAGGATCCCACACCTATAACCTAAATGGCCAAAAATTATAAATATCTACCATTAGAAAGCTTATTTTTAAAGAAATTTGGAAAAGAAATATTTTATTATAATTTAAAATCTTATAACAGGCAATATGTGTTAAAATGGGATTTTACTTACAGGAAAAATAGTAACGGGACAAACGTAATATGTATAATATTATTTGGATCTGGCAGCTTTATACTGTGGCAGCTTTATAATGGCTGAAAAAGTGTCATTTTGGTTTTCTAGTGTATTTTAAGTCAGGCCATAATTTTAAAGTGTGGAATTGCTTCCAGCATTTACCATTTAATTAATCATTTGGTTTCAAACATTATTCCCTGTCCTGAGAAATGTAGACATTATTTCTATTAAATTAAGGAGTGAAAAATTGTTCATAAAAAACTAAGGCATTTACCAATGTATTTTGTGAGGGTGGTCATACTGCTTTAGTTTATGTAGAAGCAATTATAAAAAGTTGTTTTGTGCCATCACTTGTTTCCTGATGAGGAATGAGTTGTGTCTGGCTCTAAGGCACTTTTCATACCACACATCCACTTCCTTATAGGTACATGTTGAGCTTACGTTTGAGGAGAGATACATGCATTTTTCTGATATTTTTAGTCTCTTCTTTTTTGTAGTAGGAAACCAGTGACAGGAAGATTTCAGGTTGCCAGTAGTATTGTCACTTAATAATCTGGTATAATTTAATAATACGTATTTAGAATTGGGGCACTGCAAAGCTATCAATAAAATATCCATTGAAAATAAGGAGTAACAAAGGCTTGTAGTTCATATATCTTTTCATATGGTACCCCTCAAATGACTTTTCATCAGTGTTGAAAGAATCAGAAATTGAATTTAATATTGTTTGCTTGGAAGATTTACTTTTATAAGACCTGATTTAAAAAGCTTCTAAAATATACTATTAATTTCTTTAAACTCAAAATCTGTAAGCCATGAAATAAGAGGGACATGTTTTATCAACTCTATTGTTTCCAGCCATTGCCACCATTAAAATAATACTAATTTTTCCTTCACTTCTTTCAAGAAAATTTGCTTGTCTAAATAATCTACAATTTATTACATGAATAAGACTTTGATCCATCTTCTTGATTAGTATATGGAGTTTATTTAATCTTGAGTGAGAAAAGTACAAGAATATCTCGAAAAGGCAGAGTTTCTTTTGTGAGGGGAGACTAAAGAAAATAAATGCCTAAATACAGTAACGGTCTTCTTTTGAAAAAAAATTCTGAGTATATTAAAATGTTACATGACACAGAGAACTGGATTTTGCTATATTTTTAAGGATAAACTTGTGATTAGTCTTTTCAAATACGCTGATTAGAGTGTTGGGTAATTCAGGTCCACTTAAGATTGTGAGGTCACATTTATCAGAGTGCTGACATTTTCAGGATTTAGATGATTTTTAAATGTCAATTATTCCATTAATTCCAGCTATTGAATCAACTGAGTTTAGTTTAACGTTGCAATAACAGTTGATGATGGGCATGATCACGTCTGTAAATTTATGATGCAAATTATGTTTTTACAGATACGTGCAAAAAAACCCACTGTAGAAATCTTAACCCCAATTCCATATTCATATAGAACTGGAAAGCTTGCAACTCAAATACTCGAAGGTTAAGAAATAAAAAAATGAACACTTGTAAAATATCCATTTAACCCCTTGGCTGTTATACTTTTTGTTTGAAATGTATACCCAATGAAGGCAAAAGCACAGTCTAAGCCAATTTCTGCTTTGCTGTGTAAAATCAGAATTAACTCCTGATCAATAAAAATGGTTTGTACATTTTAGATGGCAGATCATAAAGAAGTAATGAGAGGCATTGAGCGGCATCCTGGAGTCCAGTATCCTGTCCTTACGCCTAATCTTCAAGGTTTTCATGCTGCTGTAAGTGCCTTCATAGATGTCCACAATTAGCTCTTTCATGTTTCAGACACTTTCAGTTCTGTACTGCCTGTCCTGTTAAAACTAAGTGTCCTGGGTTCAGCTACAGCAGTCATTTTTTTCACCTTCTTAGTAGCTGGTGCAGTGCTGTGTTTTTGACTTTCAGTCTGGGAACAACGCTGATAACACTGACGTTTTTAGTTGTTGCTAAGTAATGTTTACTCTGACCAAGGACTTCTCTCAGTCTCATGCTCTGCCAGGGAGGAGGGGAAGCCAGGAGGAAGCAGGGGCAGGACACCTGACCCAAACTGGCCAAAGGGGTATTCCATACCACAGCACGTCATGCCCAGTATATAAACCGGGGGGAGTTACCCGGAAGGCCCAGATCGCTGCTCGGGTTGGGATGGGTTTTGGTTGGCAGTTGGTGAGCAATTGTATCCTCTACCCTTGTTATTTCCCTTATCATTATTATTGGTAACAGTGGTGGTTTGTATTATACCTTAGTTACTGGACTGCTCTTATCTCAACCTGTGGGAGTTACATTCTCTTGATTCTTCTCCCCATCCCTCCAGGAGTGGGGGGAGGAAGAAAGGAGGAAGTGAACAAGCGGCTGCGTGGTTCTGAGTTACCGTCTGGGCTTAAACCACGACACTAAGCTATAGCTTTTTAAATTAAAAACTCTCAGTTTTCATTGTGAAAAATGGGCAAAATCACGGATGTTAAGTTCTGTATATTTTAATGGAAGTATTGATCAAGCAGTCTCTGCAAGTTCCTATAAATGTATTAGATTTCTTAAATTCTGCACTCCACTTTTGTAGGGATTGAAAGTTTAAATTGTTTCAGTTCATATAAAGTAATTATTCAAAATTAGAGGCTCAAAGTGTTTGGAATTGCAATAATGGAGCAGTTCAGTCTTCTTAAAACATACATACACACACATTGCTAGTAAAATCTTTACACTTTTTTGTTTTCTGAAAATTTTTCATGCTTCTATGCTTTTGTCTTGATATAGGACAAGCCATGTTTGGAAAGCATACTGCTTGATGGACATCTGTGATGTAGTCTATCATTCAGTTTCTATACTACGTATGAAATCTCTCTTAAAACAAAATTCTGTACATAGGCAAGTCAGTACTCAGATTGATAGTGCCACAACTTTGCAATAGTAGTTTGTATGAGTTGAAGTAAATCTGCTATATCTCTATACTGTAGTTAGTTATATGATGAAAGGAAAACAAAGCAAATATAGTTGTTGGTGTTTGCTGAGTTCTTTCTTGCTGCTTTTTTTTTTTTTTATTTCTGTTTGGAAGGGTTACTGTTTCTATAAGTGTTGCTGAAGCTTGGACATTATCCTGCAGAAGCAGAGTACAGGGAAAAATTCTGTTCCTTTTCACAGAACAAGAGTATTCTCACTAGAGAATGAGAATTAATGAATTGGGTGTTCTCCTAAGGTTAAATATTTGCTCTCCTATCATTTGGCTTTCGGCATTCTAGTTTGCCTCATGTTAGCTGACTTTACTGAGTATGGAGTTACTGAGTACAAGCTCAGACTAATTGCCTCTTCAGTGAAGTCACCAAATTTACACATTTTCTAGACTGCTATTTGCTCTGGGACTTTTTCTCAGCAGACTCTCACATACATATTTTCCATATTGTTCATACTGACTATGACACCAAGACCAACGGAGCCTTTGATCCTAGAGCTGGCTCTAACAAGGAAATCCCTTTTGGTTATTGTTGCTGCTCTAGGCACATGCAGGCACAGAGCTTTCCTAAGCATAAGAATGACTTCCTGGCATTCATGAGGAACAGGTTTTGTACAGAGGATGAATATTTCAGAGTTGTTATATGATCTTTTCCTTTTCTGAAAAATGAATACAAGTATCAATCATTGTTATTTTCATTGTTGGTTCATGTGATTTCCTTTTGTAATGCCTTAATCATTTGTCACCTTAAAGATATGTTTTCCTAATTGCTAAGAAAAGGAAGGAAATATACCATAGTGAATGAACTCAAAATTTGATTCAATCTGGTTTTATGCAATAGATTTAAAAAAAATTGGAATGAAATGTATATTTTAGATATGGATGATGTACCTATAATGTACTTTCAAATTCTAGAATGTCTTACAGAATTAAGTGCTTAACAATCTTTTAATGTAAAGTTATGATTCTGTTTTATTGAAACGTATTTTTCAGATTGCAGCAGGGGCCACAGAAGTCTCAGTATTTGGTGCAGCATCTGAATCATTTAGCAAAATGAATATTAATTGTTCAATTGAAGAAAGCATAGAAAAATTTGAAGATGTTGCTAAATCTGCAAGGAATATGAATATTCCAGTGCGTGGGTAAATACAAAAATTCTTAAATAATACAGAGTTATTAGAGTTGCTGTTACAGGATGCTTTTGTACCAGTAGGAAAGTAATAATACCAATTTTTATATTTTAGATGTATTGAAATAATAGTCTTTATTGTGGGGTGTTTTTTTGTTTGTTTTTCTTTTTTTTCTTTTTACAGTTGCATATACTTAGTAATTTTTCTCTGTGTTTGGTAAGTACTAATAGTGACTAGCTTTTTCTAGAAATTTAAATAAATAAGCTGTGTGTATAAACATACCTGATTTATTATACAAATTTATTTTTATCATCGCTGATGCCAGAATAAAATTTATTTTGTGCTGCTGAGAATTCATAACATTGTTGCCTGCACCTTAGAAAAATACCATGCATACTTTTATTTTATTATATTATTGATAATATATCACTTCATACACCATAGAATCAAGGTAAAAATTTACTCCTAAGAAAAAAATATTCTTGATATAAGTTATTCCGAAAATTCCAGGTGTTGAAGTTTTTGGAGCCTCTAGTGCATGAAACTGGAATTGTCCAGTATTTATCTTTCTCTAGAGTACCTTCTTTTAAACTTGAAATAATCCTGAACGTTACTCACTCTTGAACATTCATTTTATGTCCATTTTCTTTTGCATTACACAGAGCTACTTACCTAAGATTATTTGTGAAGGTCCTTGTGAATTCAAAAAAGGCTTACATAGTTTCAAAGAGAAACTCAGCAATGAGAGTCCTTGAGGATTACTAGTAATGTATACTACTACATCATGCTCAGAAAATAGCTGGACTTGAAAATAGGTAGAGGTAGATACCTCAGAGATGAAGTCTGACAATAATACTGGATCTCTCTTTGCTTCAGAAATAAGTAATCCTACTGCTCACTTTCTGCACAATAATGTGGTAGTTTGAACATTTCCTTTGAGAGAGAGGTCTGACTTCTAGTTATACCTCAGTCTCAGAGGATCACAGAGTAACAGAATGGTTTAGGTTGAGAGGGACCTCTGGAGGTCATCTTGCCCACCCCAAGGATTTTAACACACATATCCAACTAACGATAGTTCACAAATGCTTGGGTCCTTTTTCCCTAGCCTGGTTATAAGTTTCATGTGGAAAATCATTGAATAGAAAAGTAAGGGCTTTCATTGTATTAAGAAACAGTAACTTGTACCAGAGCTTAAATACTTTAACTAGCTTCTAATCTGTCAGATAGAGTCAGGGTTTGCCTCTCTTACAAGAGATTTGTTGTTTTAAAGGTCTCTGTCACCACTGTTTGCCACATTTTTCTGGTACTAAATTCTGAGTTGAGAACATAATGGACTTTACAACTGGTTCAGAACATGTAAACTGCAGGTGATAAAGAAACCCCTGTGGTGTACTCTAGGTTAATGTTGGAGCTTCCAGTGTCACCTTATCTTCTGTTCACTTGTTTTCACGTTTAGGAAAGTGGCAACCTTCTGGTTTTTCTTTTTCCCACAGACTGTATATCTAATGCATTTGTAATACGCCAGTGGCAGTTATTCTGGCACTTAAACACTGATGTGATGGAAATGACTGTTCCCATGACAGCATCCTGCAACATTCCCGTATATTTATTGTCTATAATCTGATGAACTGTGTGGCAGGTGTTCTGCACACAGCAGAAAAAAGTGAGAGAGCAGCAGTATGAGAAGGCATGTACAGAGAGGAAGAAGTACGAGGCAGAAAATGCTCAAACAGAATCAGAGCACTCACACAAACAAAATAGTATTTTAATAATTAAGAATAAAAAGAAGGAAAACAATGCAAGGACATACAAAGAGAGGAGTATTAAGAACCAGGTAATAAAGCAAACAAAAAAACCACTGTTTTTCACCATTGTACACAGGTGAAAAAAAGTGAGATGAGGTAATAAAAAACTATAAAAACTCAAAGAAAATACAATCTGATTGTGTTTAAAAGTGCTTGCTTTGTGCACCCAGAACAAAGGTCTGTAATTTCACTTCAGCACGCACACCCTAGCAAACTTCACAGAGTACATGCAGGACAATTTTATCAAGTCTGTTGTGCTATATGCAGTACATTACACAATGCTTCAACAGTGGACTGCATAGTACCAGGTACGCTACAAAGTGAACAGATTCAAAGAAGTCATGAATGAAAGTGATATAAGTTTGCTCCAGCTATAGCTTTCTTCCTTAGGCTTACAGGTCTAAGAAAAGCGAAACATTCAGAAGTACGAAGCCATTGACAGAATCATTTGATTTGTGGGATTATAACCAGGTAAAGAATCCAATTAGGGAGGATAAGTATATTGAAGAGAAACTACATTTATGTTTATGTGTAGCTATCTTCATCACAGGATATTAGCTTGGGAAGCAATTTGTCCAGTGAAAATTAGAGGTTGAGGCATGAGGAGATAAGATGCTGGATTAACATTACACTTCAACAAATCAAAAATTTTATATAATAAAGCAGCTAATCTGCTAAAAATCTGATGAAGATCTAAATTGCAGAATATGGAGCCTTATTTCATAACAAAAAAGTAACTAAGGTAATAATTCTGACTGTCTAAACCATCCATTGAACTTGGATTTAAGTATATCAAAATATTAGAAAGAAAGTTTTGGGCGTGCTTATGGTTAACACAGTCTGTTTGGACTTTGAATGCACTTTAAAACAATCCCTCACAGGGAGATTTTGAGGAGGCAAAATAGCAATTAATGAGAAGTAAAATGTCTCTATGGATCAAGGATTAGCCCCTTGTAATTTGTGTAAATAACAAAAGATATAAGAAATCTATTAGGCTTTGTGCTGCAAGGTAACAAAATGAAGCTATGGACTACATGGATGAGGATTTGTATTCTGTGCACTGAGAATCAGTGTTTTGTTTTTCATCACCCTTTTAGAGATTGGCTACTTTTAAAGAACCATGGCCAAAACCTTCAGCCTTTGCTCAAGCAAGCTCCCAGGACTACTCATTTTGGCTTCTAAAACAAATTTCGTATGCTAAATATTTTGCTTTAATTAGTTAGATAATAAAAATATTAATATGCATAAATTGTATTTATATTAATTTCAATACAGAGATTGTTTCCTTTCTAAAGCACTATTATTGTTTGAAGTTTTATTTATTTTCAGGAAATGGATAATTTAGTGCCTTGCCCTAAGTCCTTATGTATGCAGTTGAAAAATACTTCCAAAAATAATTTTAAAGGGTTCAAATTTTATTTCCTATTTTTACTGGCAATTTAGAATTTATGTAGTGAGCATAAATCATTGGCAATCCTTGAATCTTATGAAAAATGTGCTCAAACAGTTGAAACTAAACTTTAAGCCTTTGCATGTCTTACTGTTGCTACAGCTGCACTAACATTGACTCGATCATCATCCAGAAAATTTATGTTGTCAGCTGTCACATCTAAAATCTGTAGCACAGTACACAGTTTTCAAAATGTTTCCTAAGTTAGTTCAGATGTTTATGAAATCTTGTGCATGGTCTTAGAAGTTAGACTATTTATTAACATCATTAAGTTTTTTTTTCTTTTTTTTTAACATGCATAAAAACTTTTCAATAGTATCTCTCTGACACATTCTGAGAAGACACTGACCCAAACTGATTATAAACTGTGTGGTCGACTAATTACTACTATGCATATTTTGCATTTGAAATGACACAAAATACTACTAGTTTTAGAACTGCATAATTCAGGTACTATTAAAAATATCATATCTTTTTTATTGATTAAAAATGAAGTCTAACAGCCAGGAGTGGTGAAAAACTGTGGCAAATGCTAATTGTAAGTAGTCACTTGGATTGTGTTTTAATTTAAATGTAATTGTAATGTACAAATGAAGAAAATGTTAAGTAAATTCTGGTTAAACTAGATTATTCCAAGTTAATGTATTCCAAAATTTAAGGAGACACAGAAATAAATTGCAATTAGTACAATAGAACAGTATGGGAGAAAGGATTGGGTTTTCCTCTTTTCCACAAATGATACTTCACTACATAGTTTGTGTCCTGTGACAGTGAAATGAAGTCAGACTCTCTCCCTCTGAAATATTCAGTTCTGTATAGGACAGTCTTAGTCCTAATAAAAATTAACTGGGAATAGAAGGGCTGAAAGGTTGTTGGTTTTGGTTTTTGGTTGGTTTGAGTTTGTTTTTTTTTCCTACTAAAACACACTTCTGCATGACCAGCAATTAAAAACTCTATTTTACGTCCCAGTCTTGAAAAATTTTCATTTGAATAGTCCCTTTGAGGCCATTTGTACTATTTGCATGTGCAAATCTGAATGTAGATGCAAATGTTTAGAGGTTCAGTGTTAGAAAAACAGATGCAAATGTTTACTGTAAAATAACTCTAGAAGCATTTCCTTACAAAGCTGCTGCTTCATAAATTAAATACATAATTGCACATTAATTTAAAGTGGTGTATATAATGCTATATATAGTGCTATGTCTTTTAAGAAGAAGCAGTATGGTGAAGTTCACAATACTTAAAAGCATATTGAAATATGTCAATATTTGGATTACATGTGTGCCTATATCAGATTCAAATACTGGTTGATATATTTGAAATAGCAACATTTTTTCCTATGACAGATATCAAACAAATAATTGTATATAATTTTGTTATTACTACCTTTTATATTATGTTATAATAAGGGTTATAGGTTACAATATATATAATTACTTTTGACTATAGGACATAATTATTATTTAACTTTGATGCTAATACACAAGGTAAGACATGAAATAGTGGCAAGTTAAAGAGAAATAATTGATTTTAGTTATCTTTATTTTGTGCTAGTGATGTTTGGATTTTGGGAAAAAATAAATAAATCCAAAAAACAAATGTGGAAGTACATAGCAGTTTAATTTTAGAATATTTTATAAGAAGTAATTTCAGAAGCTAATACGAAGTCTGTTTTGCTTATAAAGAAACATCTTAATTATCTGAAACTTCTGGTTATCAAGAAAATCTGATCTTTATAAGTCGGTTCAATAATGCTC